GTGGTCACCTCCGGGGCAGGCGGGAATCGAACTCATGCGGAAGCGGCTTTAGATTCTCAGTGCAGTGCTTTAACCCGCTGCGCCACCAGGGAGGGCCCAACTTAAAATACTTTTTAAAAAGTTTTAGTGTCTTAAACCATTATTGTTTTATCATGTTGGGGTATGTTGCTACATCTTTTAGCATTATGGCTGGAATTTGATTATTATTATTTTTTTATCTCAAGTTCCTACCATTTTGTTCCAAATGCCACTATATGATCTTTTTTTCATAGCTGTATAGTATACTATTGAGTAAAGGGTGCTTTTATTCAGTTATCTATTGAAAGCTACTTAGTTTGGTCCAGGGAATTTGATTTTTTAAAATAATTTTTTCTGGAATTGGAAATTCTTTAAAGATTTACTTTTTTAATTTATGCATACAAGAGCCTAGGGTATAGGCTGGGTGGGGGTGTTGAAAGGATTCACTAGAGACAGAGTGGGGAGCAGAACAGGTAGATAAGCTGCTAAGGGGGAGCAGTGGGCAAAAACAGGAGGTCTGCTGCACCATGTGGGTCAGCTCCCTGGCCAGGGATGGAATGGTGCTATAATAATTGGTGATAGCTTGATAGTGCTGAAACTTTAACCCCTGTACCACCAGAGAGACCCCTAGAATTTGAATTTTTAAAGAATCTTATTATAGAAAACTGTAAAGTATGTCTAGCACAGAACAGTCTGTCTTTGTATCTCTGATGTCTTTATTACCTAACATTTTGCCAGTTTTGATGAATATAAACATTTTCTGTATTGGTTTTAGATAATGTGATTAAGATTTGCTATTAAAAAATGAAGATTTAAACTTTTGCCATTTCATGCTTTACTGGTATCAGGTTTTTTTTTTTTTAATTGTTGCTTTGATTTTTGTTCTTAATATTGCTTTTTATTTGAATAGGAAATCTCATTTCTTTGGTCAGAATTAGAAACTATCTAAATGGCAATATGAAGGTGAAATTGTAATATTTTCTTTTGCTGTATCAGAAAGTAACCTACTTGACTCAGTTGGTTACATGAAATGTTTCAGACATAGATCTTGCATTCTATTGAACTCTTTGAAGCACTTACCCCCCCCCCCATCATGTGATCTTTGTATTGGGAGTAGAGGAAAGAATGAACAACTAAAGGGCATACATTTTTGATAGTGAAAGGGATAGCACTTTTCTTTTTTAAAAGATTTATTTATGCATGCAGAACTAGAATACAAGCCAGAGGTTTAGGGGTGGTGAGAAGATTCACCATAGCCAGAGTTGGGAACAGAACAGGCAGACTGACGAAGTAAACTGCTGAGGGGAGCAGCTGGCGGGCCAGGAGAGTTCTGCTGCACCATGTGGGTCACCTCTGGGGCTGGGGATCAAACTTGCACTGAAGTGGCTGTGGCCAGTTTACAGTGCTGCACTTTAACTCGCTGCGCCACCAGGAAAGGCTGGGACAGTCTTTTTCAATAGGTATTGATTGCTGATAATGTTCTTGTATTTCCTTTGTTGGATGAAGTTAGGGGACACTAAGTGTAAATATATATATACGCATTTGAGGAAAGACTGACATGTTGAATATTTTATGTAAAGCATGAACTTCTGACAATTGAGCTGTGTACTGATAAATTTACTTTTTATATACCTTTACATTTTACATACCTTTACCTTAGGCTAATATTGCTCTAATTAGTTAATAAAGGATTATAGAAACTGTCTTATTTCATTGAAGGACTACTGGAAGTGTACTTCATGCAATGAAATGAATCCTCCCCTTCCACCACATTGCAATAGATGTTGGGCCCTTCGTGAGAATTGGCTTCCTGAAGATAAAGGGAAAGAAAAAGGGAAGATGCCTGAGAAAGCCAAACTAGAAAACTCAACACAACTAGAAGATGGCTTTGATGTTCCTGATTGTAAAAAACCTACAGTGAATGATTCCAAAGACTCCTGTGTTGAGGAAAATGATGATAAAATCACACAAGCCTCTCAGTTGCAAGAAAGTGAGGACTATTCTCAGCCATCAACTTCTAATAGCATCACTTTTAGCAGCCAAGAAGACATCAAAGAATTTGAGAAGGAAGAATCACAAGACAAAGAAGAAAGTGTGGAATCTAGTTTTCCCCTTAATGCCATCGAACCTTGTGTGATATGCCAGGGTCGACCTAAAAATGGTTGCATTGTCCATGGCAAAACAGGACATCTTATGGCGTGCTTTACATGTGCAAAGAAGCTAAAGAAAAGAAATAAGCCCTGCCCAGTATGTAGACAACCAATTCAAATGATTGTGCTAACTTATTTTCCTTAGTAGTGTACCTGTCCATAAAAGTTGAATTATGTATTTCTAACTATATAACCTAAAAATTTAGACAACATGAAATTTATTTTTATTTTTTCATCTATTAGAGTGAGAAAGTGTCTCACTCTGTGTAGCTATCTTTTCTGTATTATAATTTACCTACTTTAGGACAGTGGAATATTTACTTCCTTTTAGGATAACCTCATTTTTTTTGTATAGTTTTTATTTGGGTTTTAATTTAATTTGAATTGGATATGTAGCTCATCCTTTACCCCACCACTCATTTTAAGTAATTTCCAATTCCTCTTAAATGGGGAGTATCTAATCTTTTTAAAAAAAATAAACTAGGGCATTTCATTGTAACTTATTTAGTATCTTTTTGTGAAAGAAGAAAAAGCTTGCCTGAAACATGTATTACTTATATTTTAGATACTTTTAAACCTTCCAATTCCTAGTTTATATTTTTCAGGACCTCTTAAAATACTCTTTCCAGATAAAAAAGAAATTGGTAGTTAAATTTGGTACCATGTAAATAAAAATGTACTTGACATCCTCCAGTTCTTCTCAGTATAGTAAGAGCTAGGTGGTCATGACGTGAACTGAGAAGTCTTGAGAATAACCTTCATTTACCAGCAAGACAGTAATTTTTAAGGGCTCCCTAGAAGAATGTGGAATTATTCCAAATATTAGGCCCTTTCCACACCAAATTTAGTGAAACCCATGGCTTTCCCTCATTTGGAAAGCAATTTTAATTTATTATTTAAATGTGAATTTTAAGAAGAACCATTTTGATTTGAGGTCCTAGTGTTTCTCATGTATGACAGCTGTACATACTGAGATAAGGACTGGAAAATCAGCTGATCTTCAAGTTTGCAGTAAAACTGGAATAATTTCAACAAACTTGCCTGTGCTGGTTACAAATAGTACTTGATATTAAACTTTAAAAACAAATACCGTAGGCATCACTTGATTTATCCAAATGGCTGAAGGATCAGTACCTTAGCTAAAAATTGGTCCTCAAAAACAGTAAAGCTTTATTAATTTGGGATTTATAATACATGTTCTAATAGTAGGATTAAATAGAACTGATATTTTCTAGAACAGTTAGTAGCAAAAATGAACACTGTACATTCAAGATATATTATTCAATGATAATACTATTTATAACTTTAAATTTATAACTTTAAATGTGTACAAATAGATTATGTAGCATCCCTATGCATTCATTACTGATAGTATGTTGATTGTCTAAATTTTTAGGATTAGTATATATATATTATTTATTCAATAATAAAACAATTTATAAAAGGGTTTACTACTTGTTTTAAGAATGTGGTTATTAGCTCAGACTTTTTCTATAATACAATGAGTTTTGTTAAATTAGAAATACTTGAATGTCGTATTTTAGGGTAATCAAAGTGCAAGTCTGAATGTGTTTCTTCTTTTGGAAAGGTCATGCCTGTCCACTCACCCCTAGGTATCTGTGGGAATGGGTTGGGGTTGGTTCCAGAAGCCCTCCCACAACCCAGTGCCCATATTCTTCGATGTTCAAGTCCCCTATATAAAAGTGACTTGATATTTACATGGAAGCCTATATACATCCTCTCATGTTTTGAATTGTCTCTAGATTACTTAGATTAACTGATACGATATAAATGCTATGTAAATAGTTGTCATGTGGTATTGTTTAGGAAATAATGACAAGAAAAGGTCTATACCTGCTCAGAACAGTTTCAGCCTTAGGAGGCTTAATTACATAATCTGTGTTTCTGATTCATGGTTGAATCAGTACACATGGAACCTACAGACATGTTGGATTGATACACATATTGATACACATATCAGCGGGCAACTTGATGCAGTTGGGAGCTTTCAAAGCATTGAATAACACCACCTTGAGAGAATAATGTTACATTTTTGTAGGGGCAAGAAATGCTACTTTCTCTTTAACTCTTCACTTCTGTTTAGACTTGGCAGACTGACTTGAGTTTTTCTAAGCAAGTGATAGTGAAAGGTATGTACCTGGGGCACTTGTCAACATGAAACACCCTATTGTAATTGCCTTTTATTTTTCTGTGTTTTCTGTGAAGCTAAATTCTGTGAAGGCAAAACCTCTTGATTGTGATATACACAGATAGGTGTTCAGTTAGAATTAATCAAAGCAGTGGGATTGAATCTTGAAGCTGTCTTTAAAAGAAAGACCTGTGTGCCCCAGAGCCATATCAAGGTTATCTGCTGGTTTCATTTAGATTTTATTTTATTTTTTAAAAAAGTTATGTATTTTTGCACAGAGAAAAGGGGTACAGGCCAGAGGTCCAGGGGCAGTGAAGAGGATTCACCAGAGATAGATGGGGAGCAGAACAGATCGACTGACGAAGTACACTGTAGAGGGGAGCAGCAGGTGGGTCAGGAAAGGTCTGCCGCGCCATGTGGGTCAGCTCTGGGGCTGGGATAGAACTCATGCTGAAGTAGCTTTAGCTTCTTAGTGCTGTGCTTTAACCCGCTGCACCACCAGGGAGTGCCCTAGATTATACTTTCAACAGGTTTTTTTTTTTTAATTTTTATTAAGATTTATTTATTTGGGCATACAGAACTGGGGTACAGGCCAGAGACTCAGGAGCGGTGAGAGACTTCACCAGAGACAGAGTGGAGAGCAGAACAAACAGATCCGTGAAGTACACTGCTGAGGGGAGCAGCGGGCAGGTCAGGAGAGGTCTGCCTCGCCATGTGGTCACCTCCGGGGCAGGCGGGGATCGAACTCATGCAGAAGTGGCTCTAGATTCTCAGTGCTGTGCTTTAACCTACTGCGCCACCAGGGAGGGCCTCAACAGGTATTTTTAAGGTACTGATTTGTGTTTAGGTTTGAAGGCTAGTGGTAACTGAAAGTTGTCATGATACTGTTCTGAAATATTTGTGTTGCACTTTTTGGTTGGGATTTGGAGGAGGGTTTTGATTTAGCTCTTACAAAAGAGTACTTAGCTGAAAAAACAACTGTTTTAAAGTTTGTGGCCCTGTATCTTCTATAAAGCCTACTTCATTTGTTTATAGGGAATTACTTATATTTACAAATAAATCTGTGAAAAGGTAAGTATTTGGAAGCACATAGAGGAAGGTGCTCAGAAGTGTTAAATGGATGAGAAATTCTCCATGTGTTCAGTAATTTAAGTAATGGATTTGTAATGGTGTATGTAGGTATTCTTAGAATAACATTTTGAATGAGGAAACTACTTGCTTGATTGGTTTTAGGAGATTATAAAGCATACTTGAATTTTTATTGCCCCTTTTTAAATAAAGGTTTCCCTTTAAAAAATTCACTTCCTAAAAATTTATAGACATAGTTCCTCCATCCTTGTTTCCATGGACTTGCCTGCTGAAAAAATGACTTTTCTAAATATTTATTTATGTATACAGAACTGGGGCGGGGCACAGGCCAGAGGCATAGTGGCGGTGAGAGGATTCACCAGGGACAGAGTGGGGAGCAGAAGCAGGCAGATTGATAAAGTACACTGCTGAGGGGAGCAGCAGCAGGGGGATCTGGAAAGGTCTGCTGCGCTGTGTGGTTCACCTCCCTGGCGGGGACCTGACTCATGCTGCAGTGGCTTAGGCTAGCTTGGTAGTGCTGTGCTTTAACCCATTGCCACAAGGGAGAACCTTAAAATGACTACTCTGTCAACAACTTAAAGTCAGCTTTATCAATTACTATATCAAAATACTATTTTTCACATTTGCGATTTTCAGTTTTGTTTTACTTGTTACCATTATATTTATTTCTTGGCTAAATTTAGTAATTTTGTGTGTTTGCTTTTGTTTTATTCCTTCCTAGATCTCACCCTTTATTATTAGGTCTTCTTCCAAGATCATAGTAACATCTGCCTAAATCAACTTCACTGGTTTTTCCCATTTTTGCTTCATTATAGTTTACAGATTATGTTGTTTCCCTGATTTAAATACATTTTTAAAACTTTTCTGTTGCTTGTTGGATATTACCTCACTGATCACATTAGACTTTGAGCTCAGTGTAAAACAAGTGAGTCTCTTTTCAGAGTCTGTTAACAATAACAAAATTATATTTGCATCCTGACAACTGCCTTGCTTAGTCTTCATCATAGTGGAGTAGGAGGGCTAAATTCAAGTGCTAGATCTGGTGACCTATAGTTAAACACAATGTATATGTAGAGCCTCAGGTGGGGTTTGTCACTTAGTAAGATCTTCTAGTAAGTGACACTTGTTTAGTAATATTCCTGTAGACATTCATGACCATAACAACTTCCAAAATTCAGCTGAGGTAGTCTTGAATGAATCTTGAAGGACAGATACTGCTGATAAACCGGAAAAAAAAAAATTAATTGCTATTTTAGTATAAACTCTGGAAATGTTCAATGAATAATAAAGGCTGGGTAGTAATGGAAGTGAAGCTGAATTTTATCACGAAACTGCCAAATGTGTTTCATAATAGAATGAATTCTTTTGAAAATAGAAAAATTACTGAAAATTTATTTTGTAAATTGATACTTTTTAGAAATTGGTGCCTGTAAATTAGCCATTTCTCAGTTTGCATGTCTCATTTAAAGTACTAGTTGTTCAGCATGTTTTAGAAGGCACACATTTGTTGAAGCCCAGCCTTTGTCCTCTGACTTGAGATTTAATATTGAATTTCTAATATCACTGCACTGATGAAAGTTTTCCATTTTCTGTAGGAAGCTTATTCTTTATAATTAGGCTATTTCAAAACCCAGTGTGAAATTAATAACAGGATAGAAGATTTCTAATCCCTTTTACTTACATTTTCCAAAATGTGTTTGAAAATCTAGAAATGTAAGTTTAAAGGGGTTGTATTAATAATCAGTTATTTAAGAAAATGGTTCCATACCTAACTGTGTTTGGGAAATCCATTTCACTCCTACATGACTTTTCAGACCCTTTACTAGATCAGTATGCATTGTGAATTTTCCAAAGTTTGTTTTCAAACTAGCAGGCACATTTTTCATCCATTGGTTTGATGAACAAATTAATTTGAAATGATAAGAGGGCTAAATGTCAGATGTAAACTGTTCTGGAAGGACTGTGTTTTAAGGGATTGTTGGATTAGAGACTCACCAGTAGTCATTAAATGTTTTTTTCCCCCCAGCTTTATTTGATGTAACCAATTCTAATATCTGGCCTTTGTTACACTTGCATAAGTATTAGTTTTCAGGATGTAATGGAAAGAAAAAAGCATTCATTGTTTATATGAGTATTTTTTTTATTGAGATAAGAAATATTCTTAATTTACTTAAGTCAGAGGTAGTCATGGTCCCTACCCAATTAACTTTACAGTCTTGGATAACTTGTGCATTTTTAAGCTCTTATAGTACAAAAGAAAACTAAGGAAGCTTGTCAGCTATGAAACCCCTATGAAAAGGCTTGTGTACACATACTACAACGTAATAAGGTGGTTTGTGAGCAATACAGTACAACATCTGCTTATTGGTGATAAAATGTAAAGTCCATAATGAAGTTAGATCCTTCCCCAATTTCTGTTTAAGTGTTGGGATCTTTGTTTTGTCTTTAACAGTCCTTTGTTAGGAAGTTATAAGAAATCTGTCATCAAATAACCATCAACTATATTGTCATGGTATAAAATCAGAACGCAAATTTTTCAATAAGCAACTTACCTGATGCAGTGAGACAACATGGTATGCTTGTGTGTGTATGAGATACTCCAGTCTGAACTTAAATACTTGTAAAGCAAACCTAATTTCTTGTATCATTTTGGGGGAAACTATTATATATTTTTATTTTTATTAATATAATAGTTTATTTTTACATCATTTTGTACTTTTTTTTTTTTTTTTTATCTCAGTTGTAATCCCTGTGGGTTTCCCATCACTGAGGGAACTATTATAAATGTAGGATTGCTTTTGGAAAAAAAAAACAACTCCACAAGGTTGGTTTTTTAGAAAGACTCAGAAATGTTGAGAAGAGGCTCTTAATACTGCTGATATATCCGACAGGTCACATCTGAATGTGATAAATTAAGCACCAAAATCAACACTGATCTTTATTGCAGGAACTTAAGAATTTTTAAAAATATTTCCCTGCCCTCTAGCTGATCAGTGTTTCAGTTCTTAGGCCAATTCTATTTGTTTGAGGCAAACAATTTGGTCTTTAATACTGTAGGATCAAGATGGAACCAAAATTTGACTCATATGCTGCTGTTACTGACAATCAAGCAGGAACCTTCATTTTACAAATAAAGAAACTGAATGTGGGGTAGTTTGAAACCAGAGCTCCTGCCTTATAATTCTACTTCTACATACTATCTTTTTCCATTTAAAACCTTTACCATACTAGTTTCTAAACTCATGACATTTGCGGCAAAATGGATGAAGTTGGAAAAGATAATACTTAGTTAAAATAAGCCAGAAAGAAAAAAATACCGGATGGTTTCACTCATAGCGGGAGGAGTGTAAGGGATCAGGGTGGGGCTGGGGATGTATATATATGTATATATATCTATATATAGTGATTGTAATAAAGTAAAATGAATATCAACAACTATAAACCAGAGACATTCTACAGGAGAACAGGATCAAAACTGGGGCAGGAAGAGCACACAGGCCTATGGTAATGGCACTGGGTGAAGTGGTGGTGGGAGGTCTACAGGGATAACAACTGAGATTAAAGAATAAAGAACATTAGGAAGTAGCAACATGGGGAGCTGGTCTGACTTTGGTTGGGATTCCACAGTGTTTTCTTCTACTGGGGGCTTCATTAGTGGAAGGTATAAAAGGTTCTACAAGACTTACTACAAATTATCAAGCATTGATATATAATTGCATAATATCTACCCTAAACCTGCTGAATTCAGGTATGATTGTCTAAATGATTTTTAAATTGATTCTGATAACATTTCTGATTTTAAAAACATTTTTAAAATTTATTTTAAGGCTCATGGGCTAATTCAGATTTTGATTCCTGCCCCTTCAAAAACTACTATCTTAGAAAAGGAAAAATGAAGACTCGGAATACCTGATTGAAAAGTTAAGGGCTTGATGGTAAATTGAGTTTTACATATATATATATATATATATATGTAAATGACATAAAGTCATTTTTTTGGTAATATTAACATACTTTTGAGTTTACAATAAATTACTTTTTATTTAAGTAAATATCAAAGTATTGAGATTTACCAGATTTTTAAAGTAGAGTTTGAGAGACCGCAAATTCTGTTTCTATTAATGTGTGATTTTGTTGGGTAGAATAAGCTTAGTACAGGGATAGCACCTAAATGCCCAAGTGTTTTTCATTCCTCTGTGGTTCTCAAGCATTCGCTATGTAGCAAGTCCAGCATAGTTACATTTCCAGATCCTATAAAACTTGATAGAATAACAAAGAATTCATTTTCCATATGTAGAATTCATTTTCCATATGCAATATACAACACATAGAAATCTGTTTGCTAGAGTTGCCTTTATCCTGTTTGATGCTCCCTCCATCTATTCTTACATAAAATGTTTTTAGATAGTTTAAAGATAGGTTCTCATAATGGAGAACAATTGCTTCAAAGTGAGTACAAGTTGTAAATATTTTCTCTTGTGATTTTAAAAGGTAGCTTATAACATGTTAACAGGTGACACATACCGTTACTATGAACCTTAGGGTAAATGCAAAATCTAGTAAAATCACTTTTTATTTATTTCTTGATATGTGAAAACATTCTTGACGGTTTTACTAATGAGCTTGAGATTGCCAAAGCAGAATACTACTTTCATAAGATGACTCAAAGCCTTATATGGTTTCTGGGATAGATTGTGAGTGGAAGGCTGCAAGAATAATATTCATTCATTCCCTACTATGTGTGAGGCTTTGAGGATACAGAAGTGAAAATTTTCAACAAATCAACCTGGCTTTTAAGAACTCAATCCTACCTGGGGAAAAAAAAAAAAAAAAAGGCACAAATGGAAGTACATTTTTTGTAAAATCAAAAAAAAAATTGGGAGCAGACGAAAGGCTCTTTAACCCCAGTTTGTGAGAGGGTGAAATGGATGGTCAGTAAAGGCCTCCTAAGAGTTGACGCCTGAACTATTAAAAGAGTAGAAAGGCAATAAAGTGGGTCAGAATGGCATCCCATTCTCACAAACAGCATGTTATGTGAGTTCAAACTACAAGTGCTTGATGCTTGATGTTTTCAGCAGACTTTCCTCCCTTCACCAGTAGAAGAGATCTGAAGAGGATGGGAGCAGGAGACCAGTAAGATTGTTGTGCAGGTGAGCTATGGTGGCTGAAAGAAGGCAGTCCACAGTCTTGGAAAGAGGGTAGAACCAATTTATAATTCATACCACCCTTTTCTGACTGGGTGTGTGGGAGGAGGAGGAAGTAGGAAGGATGACTTTCAGGTTTCTAGCTGATGGTACAAGTCATTGAGACGATACCAGAGAAAGAGCAACTTGGAGAAAAGTATGTTTGATTTTCAGCATGAGTTTGAGGTATCTGGGCCACATCAGGTGCATTTGCCCAGTGGACAGCTGGGCACAAGTCTGAAGCTCAGGTGAGAGGATATAGTTACACATATATATGGGGGCCATCAGCGTAACCGGACTTGCAGAAAGGCAAGGACTCAACTGACCTGCAGCTCTATAGAAGCAACCTTGGCATCCTCTGAGGCTCTTATTTTCTTGGGCCACTGAGATATGGTTGCCTGTTTTCCTCATATTTCCTTAGATTTGTAAAACTCCCCAGTGTTCTCATTTTTTCCCTGCACTGAGAACTAATGCATGGCACTTTGTGTTCACAGATAGCCCTCATGCAAGGTGATCAGTAAATGTTCATCTTCAATACTTATTTTCTTCTGGCTCTTAGTATACAAATGTAAATCCTTTTTTCTTGTAGGAACAGTTTGTTTCTCAAGTTTACTTTCTTATAAATTTCTACGATTATTTCAAGATTGAATGTAAGTGGGCAGTACTTGATAGGTAGATGTCTTCCATTCATTCCTTTTGTTCACACACATTGGTTGTTGCAGGATTTGGAAACAACCAGTTCTTTACTGAAGGATGGTGGGCTTTATCCAGTCAAGGTCCCACGGAGGAAGTTAGCATTGCTGTAGCCTGACGTGAGTGATCCCTGATTCCAGGTGGTGATGAGATCTGAGTTTCACATTTTGCTTTATTTGAAAAATATGTGAAAAAGATTTACCACAAATACTAACAGGCTAGACCTCGTTACAGCCGAGTGACTTGGCAAATTATATAGAGGGATAGTAGGACATGAAGGATTTGATGCTGGAATAGAATCCAGCTGCCCTCTCAGTGGAAGTAAAATATCCTTTTTAAGAGCACTGAAGTTCTGTGGTTTTTCTGGAATAATCACCTTTGTTAGGTATGGATTATGTCCAGGGACTGTAACCTAGGAAGAAATAAGAAACAATTACCTGAATGAGTTAAGATGTTTTGTGGTGCCAACACTGATGCCCACCACTGAAATGCAGCTTTTACAAAACACATGTAACAACCTGCCAGGCTTCCATCGCTAGTAACAGCTTTGGCTCTGCTTGCTGAATGAATTATCTGCTGTCTGTTGATATGGACTATAGCTTTCAGTGCTATTGCCAAGAGTTACCAGTGAAATAAAGACAGATTTGGAGATTTATCTGGAGCTCTTAAGAGAAGAAAGCAGACTAATTTTGCCCCCATCATTTTCATGGAAAGCAAAGGTGAAGGAGAGTTGACTATTTCCCTTTGTCCCAAGTACATAATTGATATCCACATTGGGTATCAAGATTTTGTAAGTGGAAATCTTTTCTCAATTCATTTTTTAGAAGATTTATTTATGCATAGAAAAAACTGGAATATAGGTGAGAGGTGCAGGGAGTGACGAGACAGAATGGGAAGCAGAACTGGAGGACCTACTGAAATACACTGCTGAGGGGAGCAACAGGTAAGACAGGAGGGTTTGATGCACCACGTGGGGCAGCTCCCCGGCTGGGGATAGAACGCATGCTGCAGTGGCTGTGGATAGCTAGATAGCCCTGCAATTCCAGGGAGCCACTCAGCTCATCTTCCCTGCAGCCGATCTAGGTGTACAAGTTTATTGATTTTCTTAAAAGCTTGGTTTTATCTGTCTTTATTCATAAAGGTCTGAATCTTCAGCCAGATTTGTTTCTTGGTGGAGGAAATGATCAGGAAAAATAGGACTAATGCTAAATTAACAATAGACTGTATAGTTATGAGAAATACTTTTATTATTATGGTAAAGAGGGAAAAGAATGGAGAATAACATTACCTAACCAGTAATTGCTATTAATTTTAGCCATTCATTTTAGCTTCCAAAGTCTTACCTCCCACCTTGTCTAGTAGCTAAAGGCAACATGTACTGCATTAGTCTAATTGATGACCAGTTAATGATTTTATTGTTTAACAGTGTGGCTCATTTATCAGACTGTATAAAAATTTGGATTTAGGTATAAAAGAAAATACTCTGTTTTACAGAATATCAATGTCTCAGTAAATAACAGGATAACAAAGGGCCTTTTTAGGCAAAAATTACAGTGATTTGTGGTCTCAAGCTCTATCCATCTCAGTAGGAATAGAGATTTTTAAAAAAAAAAAATGATGTATTTATGCATACAGAACTGGGATTACAGGCCAGAGATAAGGGGGTTTTATCCAGAGACAGGAGTGGGGAGCAAAACAGGCAGATCCACTGAAGTGCACTGTTTAGGGGAGCAGTTTGCGAGACAAGGAGAGGTCTGCTATGCCCATGGGTCACCTCCCTAGCTGGGGATTGAACTCGTGTTGCATGGCGATGGTAGCTTCATAGTACTGTGCTTTAACCCATTGCATTGCCAGGGAGGGCCCAGGAGTAGAGATTTCTCAGAAGAGTGATAGCCCCTCTATTGAGCACTGGGGTGAAAAGCTATATACATCACTGGAGCTCTGCTTCCCACAGTTTTGTATCTGAAGCCATGCCTTTCATTACATTCTAAAATTGAAATCATGAAATAGAACTCAGTTTTGCTACAGCCATCTCTCCCAGGAGTAAGTTTGTACAGAATGACATCAGAACAATTTAGCAAAGTAGAATTGTTAATATCTTAGAGAATGTCACAACAAGGAAGAGGAAGCACAATCTGGCCAAAATCTAGTACTATTAATTTAGTTCATTCACTAGTTTTGGCTCAAACTAGTCCATGCCTCTTCCTACGAAATGACTTAGAAGCAAGTATCTTAGAGAGTTAAATACTGGAATTTTACTTATGCTGATTGAAAAACTCACCCTGATCTTCTAATGAAAGGGCTGCAAAATACTTCTATTCCCTTCTTTAATACAGTGGTAAAACTTGTGGATCAAATTTCACTTATAATGAATTCTAGGGAAGAACTAGAACTAGAATCATTCTAATACCTATTCATAGAATAGGTATTAGAATAGTATTCCATGAATCTAGTAGGTATTTGGCTCTGTTTTTAATTACTATTCAAAAAAATTCTTATTCCTATTTTTATCATAAAAGGTATATCCCAAGAAATAGGCTTTTATTTTATTTTAAAAGTCAATGGCCAATTGGGGAGAAACATGATTTTTTTTTTAAAGATTTATTCATTTATTCATACAGAACTGGGGTACAGGCCAGAGATGCAGAGGGTGAGAGGCTTCACCAGAGACAGAGCAGGGAGCAGAACAGGCAGATTGATGAAGTACACTGCTGAGGGGAGCAGTGGGCTGGTCAGGAGAAGTCTGCCACGCCATGTGGTCACCTCAGGGGCAGGCGGGAATCGAACTCATGCGGAAGTGGCTTTAGCTTCTTAGTGCTGTGCTTTTCAACCCACTGCGCCACCAAGGAAAGCCCAGAAACATGATTTTTTCAAAGTTGTTCTATAAGTCCTACATTTCTCAGCTTTTGCCAATTGCAAATCTGATGCTGTTCTCTGCTTCTGTCTGACACACCTACTTTTGGACTTTTACTGACTTTACATTTCTTCTGGGTGAGTAATTATTGTGAGTTCTATAATACTTTAATAATAATAACTAGGACTGCATACTTACATTTATTTTATAGGACCCAGGCAACAGGAGAAGATAATACTCTCCAAATTTGTTGGTTCTATAGGGGCAGATATGATTTTTACCTTCGACTTCTACAATCACATTGGGTAATGGATTTTTATCCTGATCAAAAACTTGACCCTTAACACCTGCAAGACAACAAGAGAATGAAATGTCAATACCGTATTTCATGGCATATGAAAAACATAATTTAAGAAAAATATGCTTAAAATTTGTTACCATTTTGAGTTTTACAAGTGTTTGAGAGGGAAAATAAACTTTTAAGTTGAGATATAATTGACATGCAACCATAAACTCTGTTCCTTTAGCTAGGAACTTGAGTTTTTTTTTTTTTTTTAAAGATTTATTTATTTGTGCATACAGAACTGGGGTACAGGCCAGAGGCTCAGGGGCGGCGAGAGGCTTCACCAGAGACAGAGTAGGGAGCAGAACAGGCAGATCTACAAAGTACACTGCTGAGGGGAGCAGCGGGGTGGTCAGGAGAGGTCTGCCACGCCATGTGGTCTCCTCTGGGGCAGGCGGGAATTGAACTCATGCGGAAGCGGCTTCAGATTCTCAGTGCTGTGCTTTAACCCGCTGCACCACCAGGGAGGGCCTAGGAACTTGAATTTTTAAGCTAGTATGTATACGTTATATGGCTATATCTTTCTGTGTCTTATTACACATAGTATAATATCCTCAAGGTTCACCTGTTTGTCACAAATGGCAGGATTTCATTCCTTTTTTATGGCTGAATAATTCCATCATATATATATATATATATACCATGTTTTCTTTAGTAGAGTCTTCTCCAAAAATAAAAACAGTACTACTCTATAATGCAGCAATTTCCCTTCTGGGTACTTCTCTGAAGAAAATGAAAGCACTAATTTAAAGAGATATGCACATCTCTCTTCACTGCCGCTCTGTTCACAATAGCCAAGATATGGAAACAACCCATTAATGGGTTATTAAGTGAAAATATGATGTACAACACATACACACGATGGACAGCATATGCACACACACACATATCCACATATACATCATTGAAATCTTGTCATTTGCAATAACATGGATGAAACTTGAGGGCATTATGCAAAGTGAAACAAGTCAGAAGGAGGACAACTATCAGGTGATTTTACTTGTGGCATATAAACAATACAATAAATGAAATAAAACAAAACCAAAACCTATAGTTCTGACAACAGAATAGTGGTTACCAGAGAAAAGGGTGGGGGTAAGAGGGATGGAGATGGTAGAGAGGGTAGCTTAGGTGGTCGTGGCACGCAAAGTTGTAAGGTATGGAGGAGTAAACGTGAAACTTACAGTGGAGTATACCAATAATATACAAGGAAATAAAAGTGTTTTCTCCCATTACTCGTAAATACATTCTTTGGATTCCTACTGAGCACTGATATGGAGAGAACTTTCTACCAAGCATCAATACACACTATATCAGTATTTTTGAAATAGGGTTTCATTATTAAATTAGGAGTAAATGCCTGTCTTAAACCACAAGGGGGCATAGTTGACATGCTAACATACATATTTTTAAGTGCGTTGTGCACATCTGATGATAGGAGCAAACAGCTAGACAAATGTGCTATTTTTACAACACCTAGTGTAAATGGACTTGCAAACTCTCAAACATCATAAGAATATTTACATTGTGGTTTGTATGTTATTTAAACAGTTTATAAATCTCCTTCACTGACAATGTTATATCCACATACATCAGAGTATACACCTTTTTCAGAATTTGGCAAATAACCTTTACATCTAGATTGAAATTCCAAAAATAGCAATGCAGTTACCTGGAGTATATTTCATGTTCAGTTGTATCCCCATGTTGACACTGATGAAGGAAAAATTTTAGAAAATAGAGTAATACACTGGAGGATCAAAATAGATAGGAATACAATAGAAAGACTACTTAATATATGTCCCTCGTGAGGAAAATTTAGGGGAGAAATACCAGAATGCTAAGCAAGAAAGACCCAAAACAAAGTTTGAAGACATAGTGGGAGAGGAGAAAGACTAATAATCTAATTATTAAGATGCTGCTGAAGAAAAGTCTCTTTGTAACTTCTCTCATAAGTGACTCCTCAGAGTTTACCAATAGCTTTTGTGAACTTGTGTGCAGGGGGGTGTGGGGGTGGGTTGGAGATGTGATATGAGAGGGAGAAGAGACGTCCATTTTAGGGACGTGTGGCCAAGTGAAACTGCAGTGGGCTCTGTACTTGGACCTGTATTCTGCTTCTGACTTTTCTCTCCATTTATTTTTAGCAAAAGGAAAGGTTGGATGGGAAATGTGCTGAAAATTCTAAGAATTATGCAACTGTGCAGCAAGCCTATGATGGAAACCACACAAACACACATCTTCCACTTTGACCTGCTAATAGTAACATAACTATTGTGTCAGGTCCTGGTATGATTCTTCCTCCAAGTGATTCTGAATGAAGAAAGGTAACTTTAACTCTGGCAATGCAGAAGAGTCTCCACACTCTGGCCAGGGAGACACAGGCTGGTTAAATAAACTTGAACTGTGACAATTCCACCCACATCAGGAGTGGCGTGTCCTCTAGCCCAGTGACTTTCACAGTGTGGTTGCTGGACTATAGCACCATTAGCACCACCTGGATGATGTTAAGCTTTGGGAGCCACTGAATGAGTAACTGGGAGTGGGGCCTGGTGCCTATGTTTTAACAAACCGTGCCAGTGAGTCTGCTGCACATAAATTGGGAACAACCCTCTTGCCCATTTATTCTGTGATAAAGGCCAACAGCACTTAAATAACAAGCTGGGAACATACCCAGTGCCAAATGATCTGGCAGAATTGAGGGGTGGGAGAGGTTGAGCTGATGGTGCTAGGTCACCATCCCAGTTCTAGGGAAAAGTGTAAAATGAATGACCGCCACTTCCTAGGTCTGTGCTACACTGTGGCAAGTGACAGTTTTCTAAGTAAGTCATCATATAACAAAATAACAGCCCATTTTTCTGATCTTTGCCAGATTTCTAGGAGATTCAACATGTAGAATGAAAAAGTACTCCAGATTTTACGCCCCTCTATAAAAGTGACATGCACCATGTTTCCTCCTTGGTGAGTCGAGGGGCACTGCACTTCTCACGCACTGCCGGTATTCAGGCAGAAAGAATTTTTGCCACTAATTCTGGTTCTGAAAATGAGGCAGTGCCTAGAAAACAAACAGGGGCGTGCATTTTCTCAGCCCAAAAGTTTACCAGATGCTGTCATTTGTTAACAAAGAATCACTAAGGAAAGTGTACAAACCTAGGTGCACCTGTTTCATATATTCAATTAATGAGGCTCTGTTATCATTCCAGAAAGATGTAAGCTTCTCTGCACGAGGGTATTTACAGCATGACAACTCCAATGTGATTTCGAAACATTGAGCCCAGATGTAGTTGTAATCTTGCATTCCACCTAAACACAAGCATATTTCATATTTTTAAGTTCTCAAATTGGAGTGGAGACAGGTATCGTAGGCAACTGGATGAGACAGTTGCAAGAAAAGTACTGGTAAACAGAAAAAGATGAATTTGACATATTAGCATGGAAAACCATTCTATCACCAAGGCATGACCAGGTCATCCTAAATATTCCCTACAGTGATGGATCAGACCTAAAAGAAATGGGCCTGCATCATAATTGAAGGAAGGATACTTTTTTGCGCATGTGATCTTATATTACAAAAAAGATTCTTCAAGTTACTGAATTACATTTTAAACAACGTTAGAATATTTTAGAAGAAATATTATTCTAAGTCATATATACAACATGATGTAATGCTAAGTATATTCTAATTTGGGGGAATATTAGTGGGTAACATTTATTGAGTGTTCAGTATTGCTAGGGACTGGCTGAAGAACTTTGTATCAACTCATTAAATCCTCACAGCAATTACCTGCACTATGCAGGTGAGGGAGTGATCACAGCTAGTAAGCAAGTTGCCCAGGGAGGTCAATGGTAGAGACCCATGGTAGAGATGTGCCCCTCCCCATCTCACTGTGCTGCTTCTGGGCCGAAAGAGGGGCGTGGAGCTGGTTTGGAGGACAAAGACCCCCTGTTGCTTCTGGGGCTGCTTGCTTTCTAATGTTTACCTCTAGAGACCCTGTTTTCAAAGGGTCATAAACAAAACTTTTTATATTTTAAAATCTCTAAATTGAGATGCCTTAAACTGAATGATAAAAAAAAAAAACAACATCAAATTATCACCAGTTTGGAAGCTTTTTTCTTTTTTTCTTGGTGGTACATTGTTTTATCATCAGTGGCATCTTGGATTTGATAAGAATACAGTAACTTTGAAGGAAATAATTTTACTTGATATCTGCCAAGGAGATGTATATTACGTATTCTCAGTTCCTTCAGGGTACCTGGGCATTACTGAAATAGAAAAAAACTCAAGAAAATATTATTTGAATATTGTGTAGGTCCAGGTTCTAGCCAGAAAGAACTTCCTATTTTTTATGTGTTTGTAGTTCTCTCTGACCTCATTTCCACCAAGAAACAGAAAGGTGGAAAAAAAGAAGCAGGGGAAGAGAGCAAAGCAAAACAAAAGCCCTTGTCTGGATGACTGTGTCTCAGGTCGAATGAACTTAAATGGTAAAACAGATGTGCGAAGCATGCAGGATTGAAAATACCAAGTGCGGAGAGCATGTTGTTCTGGACAAGGTGAGTTAAGCCTCTGGGCTTTGTTCTAAGCTCCAAGGAATCCGCTCTGCCTGCTGTTTTTCTCAGAAGGACACCCGGCTCACACACAGGTACACCTGGCAACAATTAACCTCCCACAGCAAAATTAGGTTCCTAGCTAACTTTCCATGTATCTGAACTCGGGCTGGAAGTCTCAGACAGTCCACATAAAAGACAACTCTGCCACTGAGCGGGAGGGGATGTTTCTCATTGTGAGGAAGGAAAAAAGAGACTATCCCAGAATCCTGAGGTGGGGGTGGGGAGGCTGTCTCTTGGCTACCAGAAATTTGGGATGTAGTAGTGTCCACCTGGCCCTGCTGCGGTCAGTCGTGGCCTGTGCTTATTTATTATTTACATTACCAGAAAGCTGGCCGAATGCTGCCCGGACGCAAAAGTACTAGAAATGAAAACAGCAGCTTGTGCTAGACTAACTTGTAGTCTGAGCACCCAAAGTGACAAGTGGGGAACCGGCGGAGTACAGAAATGCAGACTGCAGCTGGCTGTTGGAGGTGGGGGGTTGGGGGGGGGTTAGGCTAACCAGTCTCCATGGGGAACTTTCCTGAAGCAATGGGAACCCAGTTCCAGCCCATCAGCCCTCTGACTCTTCCACCCTGGTCCCTGCTATCTCTCAGCTCCCAGACTAGCACAAACTCTGACACCCTTCTGCTCATTTCTTCTCATAAGAACATTCACCTTCCTGTGTGCTCAACCTTTTTCTTCACCTGGCCATTCTGTGCCAAGAGTGGGAAATGGGAGTCTTCGCCTACATCCAGCTGGAAGAGCGCTTTTGTTTAGGCTGCAGAATGACTTCAAAAATTACAACACTTTGTGTACAAATTCTTATTGTAAAACCCCATGGCAGCACAGCAATTATTTGGAAGTAGCAGCTGTGTCCCCTTAGATGACACAGAAGCAATAAATTTCTCCAAGGCCTTCACTGCTCAATGTTGTCACTTTGGCTTTACACCCACGTGGTACACAGCACTTTTTCTAACCCTCTACTTGTTTTTTGATTATACTATAGCCACAGTTACTCCTTTGCATAGAACTCCTCCCTAAGATCTTCATCTGTTCATATTTCCTGATAGTTTCTGGCTTATAGTAAGTAAATGCTGAAAAAGCATCAGAATGAATAAAGGAACAGGCAGTAAGGAACAATATGAGTATCCCTCAAATACCAGTCGTGCCCCCCTCATACTCCCTGCCCCCCCCCCATGTAGCTGGCAGAGACATTATTGAAGGGGCTGCACTAAGCCTCAGAAGCTTTCATCAAGTGCTGGAGTCAACAAGAACCAGCTGGTACCTCTGGGTGGTGGCAATGAGATTGGTAGAAAGGAGGAGAAACTCACCCTTAAGTGGATACCAAGAGTACCCATTTATAATTCCATTTGGAGAGTTCATTTTATTTTTACACTCATCTCCTTTCTTCATGACAGGGTTTCTTGAAGCATAAGTATGTGCCAGATATTGAAAAACATCATCATCAGGGGTTAAACTCCGGAAGTGTAATGTCCCAGTTGCTGCACATGAAAGATAAACCAGAACCTTTCAGTCGACTTCAGATAAGAGGGAACAGCACCACCAGATAAGCCAGGGCTTCCTCTCATCCCACACCACGGCTCTAATTTCATGGAAAAAGCTCTCCATCCCCTTCCACCATGACTCTCTCCTCTTCTTCCATTTTAATGAACACACAAAGTGGTAGACAAAACAGGGCATTATATTCAAACTCCCCCAAAGCCAGCTTAAAAATAAAACGTTCTCTTACTTTCCCTGACTTCTGAATGCCAGTCATCTTTCTTAGCGCTTACAGACAGGTGAGATGAAGCCACTGCACTGACATATAGGCCTTTAGTTTATACCTCATCAGCATTTAGAAAGGCATTAGTTCTTAGTTATTACTCACTGGTCAGCAAAGACAGGTTTTTCTCACTTCAGCTGTTTCCCCTTGTGTGATAATCCACTTCCTGATCATACTAGTCACAGACGAAAAACCAGAAACCCTGTTGTCGCTTCTGTCACACCGCCCTTCTGCTTACAAATTTTAGGAAGGTTGGCTTCCGGCTGTGAAAGGAAGCGCCCTCTACCCCTGCCAGCGCAGGTAAGTGGGGGAGGGAGGAGACAGTTTATCCCTATTTAGAGGCAGAGTTTGCTGCTCCGTCTACCGGTCTGTGTTTGCTTACCTGGAACACCGTTGTCAAACGGGTAACTGGCCACCAGGGCACCACCGTGGAGGTTTGCAGAGAGGACGAACGTCTCTGTTTTCAGCCACTCCATGACTGCCCTGGTTTCAGGCTGAGTTGATACATTATTAAATTCAAAAGCATCGGGGAAGTTTCTATTCAAGTCATAGTCGTTACTATTTTCCCTTTAAAAGAAAAGTTTCAGTGTTTACGGATGGTATGTGACGATCTCTGGTTTGGGTTCAGGTGTTTTTCCCAAATAGGAAAACAAAGTTGGTGGTGGCCGCTCGGTGGCGCCAATGAGCCACACGTGGCACTCACCTCCAGGGTGACTGGCTCTGCCCAGGGCCAGGTAGCTGTATGATGTCAACAAGGCTTTAGTAAATGTTTGCATTTTAGGGCTTTTAATCAGGGAACACTTCTTTTTGGAACTCTGGGACCCCAATACTAGCCAGTTGGAGAGTCCACATGAAGAAACAGAACCCAGCGACTCCGACACGTGGTCCCAGGCTAGCTGTCTCAGTCAGGCCCTAGCTGAAGCCCCAGACATCATGGCAGCAAGATCAGCCAGCCCTGCCCTATGCCTAATTTACAGAACTGAGATTAAATTTGGGGATTATGTACTAATTTTTGGGCACAGAGTGATTGATAACAGAAACAACAGGGATCTACGACTTTATACAGAGTGAATTTCTGGAAAGTGGACTGGTCGTGTTTAAAACTAAAAGTTGAAGGGAAACAAATGGTGAAATTTTGTTTATTTTTGGTAAAAGTAAGCAAATTTTAAACTGCACAAATATATGTTCTATTTGAGAAATTCCAAACTTTCCAAGGCAGATTGGTACAAAATAAACTGTTGAAATCAGAAAAACTGTAAGACTCGCTCTTTTTCTGGTTAGTTTGGTTAGTTCCACGGGCTAATACATGAACCAGTAATTACTGAGGTCCAGGACCTGTGGTTGGCCCTGGGGACTCAGTGATGGCAAACAGCACACAGGATTCCTACCCTCATGTAGTGGGGAGAGCAGCATTTATTGTAAAAGCAATTAGACCTTAAGAGTTGTGTTATGCAGTTAAAAAGCCAGATAATGAGAGAGTATAACTGGCGACTTCATCTGTGAAAGGTCAGGGAAAAGCTATTTAAGCAATGGCAGGTATGAGGTGTGGAAAATGTATGTGCACAGCATCACAGATGAGAACCTGGAAATTCTAGAAGGAAGGGGGGAAGGATTTGGTGCCTGGATCCTAGAATGTTGTAGATCAGTGTGAGCTGTGAGCTGGTTGTTGCTATGGTCCAATCAGCCATCCCCAAAACAGTCCAGTCAAAACTGTGGGTGGGGTAGAGGAGCCCTAAAAGAGGACAGAAGGCGGTGCAGGAGCCAGTTTGATGCTGGCCTCTGAAGAAGAAAGGCGCATCATCCAGAAGCTGATCTCCAAATGCCAACAAACTTTGCAGGGAAGCCAAGTTGCTTTGCAGAGACCAGGAGCCACCGCCCTCCAGCCTGCTTGACACCACCTGAATGAAGCCCCGAGGCCCCAGGCCTGGTGTCTCAGAGCTGTTCAGGGCTGGTGTGGGCCAACAACTCACAAAGATCTGTAACACTAGTGACCAGGTGACCAGCACTACTGGCCAGTGCTGCCCAGCACTGCTGATGGGTGACCAGCACTCAGTATCCTGGTGACCTCTGAGCATTATTAATCGCCCCAGCACTGCCTCCCAGTTCTGCCTCCATGTGGTCTGGTTCGGCTGTGGCTGTGGGTGGTGGCAGCTTCATGGGGGTTGGGGTGGGGACGTCTGTGAGCATCTCCAGCTGTGGTGAGTTGCCCCTGGCGGGCTGCTTGCTGACTGCTACAAGCTCCTGGCCCTCATTCATGAGGATAGCACCACCTTGGGTGAGTGGGCTTTTTTTTTTAGGATTTTGGGCACTGTGGACACTATCTGGGGTGAGTTAGCCGTCCATCTGTGGCCTTATGAACTCTTTTCCTCGTTTGATAAGTGAACCCCATTGTTGTTCCTGAGCCTGGGTGGTCTTGCGGCTGTGCGCACAGGTGGAGGCCCTGGACAGTGACCTTGGCCTTGGCCATTGTCCTCTGACTGGCTGTAGCACCCCTGCTGCACTCTTTCAGCTTCACTCAGGATTGCCCTAGGAGCAGCGGGCAGCCCTGGGCAGTTTCCAGCACAGCAACGACAGGTTGTGGGCCGGCTCACTGACCTGTCTGGTGGGGGACACTGTGTCTCTTTGGTTTACTTTTGCATAAAGACAGGCTAGTGCATTACCTTCCATTACTGTAATAACAGTCAGGCTTTCTGACAGCTTCAAATCCATCTGGGTTCATTGAAGGCATGATGTGTATCCGGGTACTACTGATTAGTTTTGTGATTTCAGGGTCCTTTCCATCACTAGTTACGAGGTAATCAATTAAATGAAGCAGCAGTTCTCGGCCTACAGTCTGTGTATTAAAGAAAAAAGGGGATATTAATTACTTAGCCAGGGGAAAACAGCCCCCAAAGCATTTATTTCCTAACCAGCAACTTTATACTTGGGATCTAAGGCCAAAACCACCATTTCTCAAGTGTTCTGATACCCTGAGCAAGTGGTATTCATTAGCTGTGCTAAAAATCATGTTAATAAGTTATTTAAATATATATATATATAATTGCTTTTTACATAAAAAAAGATTTATTTTTTATTTATGCACGCCAGAGGTGCAGAGACAGTGAGAGGCTTCACCAAAGACAGTGGGGAGCAGAACAGGCCAATTGATGAAGTACACTGCTGAGGGGAGCAGTGGGTGGGTCACCTCTGGGGCCAGGATCGAACTCGCACTGAAGCGGCTGTGGCTGGCTTGCAGTGCTGTATCCTAACCCGCTGCGCCACCAGGGAGGGCCTAAAAAATATTTTTAAGCAAGATTTATTTATTTATGTATAGAAGAACTGGGATACAGGCCAGAAGCAGAAGGGTAATGAGAGGAATCACCAAAGATAGAGTGGGGAGCAGAACAGGCAGATTGACAGAAATCCACTGCTGAGGGAGCAGCAGGTGAGACAGGAGAGGTCTGCTGCGCCATGTGGGTCACCTCCCTGGCTGGGGGTTGAACTCATGCTGCAGTGGCTGTGATGACTTTGTTACTCTGATGGGCAGAAAATAACTGAAATTGGACTAAGGAAATTTGGAATGTAAATTACATATTCAGAGGGGGCCATAAAATTCAGACTGGAAATATATTCATTTCTGACATCAATTTTTGCTAACTCTATTCTCTCCTCTTTGATGTCATTGACTTTTGAGTTGATAAGCAAAATTGTCACTTGAAAAATCATTAAACTAACAGCAAAAAGGTCGAGCTACACCACATACTGAATTTCCAATTCTGTGTTTTGGGAAGCTCAAGCACTTTTGGAAGCAACTCCCATGTAATGCTTATTACTTTCAACCCTCAAACCAGGTGACTTTAATTTGTGAAATGTGGAATGTGTGATTGATTTGAATGTTTCTTGGGCAAGAGGAAAAGGAAGGGAAAGAAGGAAGGAGATAACCAGGAATCAAGTGTTAGTTGGAGGCTGGGGGATGGCTCACTTGGTGGGCTGAATGAGGAGAAACCTGAGAGCTCCATCTGTCCCACATCAAGTATAGAAGGAATTGTATCAGGACCCCATGTGGTTCTGCATGTGAGTTTCCTTCTAAACATGCATTGTTAAGCCTGTCAACTCAAGGCATGAACTGGCAATGGAATTCAGTCAGCCAAAAGGAAATGAAAACAAACAAGAGTAAAGAAGTTATAATTTGTGCTATGGAACTAGATTGTGAGTAAAGAATACAATGTAGACATTAAGGTTTGGAACTACCAAGGTTAACTAGATTAATTCATTTATTAATTAGTTTCCCTCCTCTCCCTTGCCCATCAGCAGTGAGGGAGAGGAGGGAAAGTTTCAAAATGCTTATCTCTTCACTTATCATAGCAAAAGGTCATACGATACTATCAGACCTGAGAATATATATATTTAAATTTATGTACAGTTTCAAAGCTTTTTCTTTTTCCTATGTTGAGCAAATATCAAGTTCACTAATTTTAGTTTCATTGAAGTTTCACTTCAATTTAAATTTCAGTTCCAATTTGCTTGAGTTTATTATATTTAATTCAAGTAAGGTTGAATTTTTTATTTATTTAAAAATTCCATAAATGACACATTTTAAATTTTACATCCTTTCCTTTGCTTACTCTAGAATAACTGATTTCTAGGACAGTATTTGGCAACTATAATGGTGGTTATTTCTGAGTGACAGTATTCTGGATGATTTCTGTTTCTAGTTTTTCCAGTGTCACCTCTTAAATAAAACCTATTATTTTTACAAAACAAAACAAAAAAAACCAATAAAATCCTGAGTCTTCAAGGAAACAAATGTGTAACGAAGGTATTTTCTATTTGTTTGTTTCCTTATTCCCAAACAAATCATAATTTCTCAATTGCAGAGGAAAAATAAAAATCCTGGATACATGAGAAAAGAACCAATTAAGAATCAGACAATTTTAAAATGCTGAGGTAAACAGATGAAATTTCAGAGGGTGTTAAACAAAGTCCCTTTTCTTTGTTTTTGAGCCATATTTTGCTGCCCTGGTAAGAGCAGATTCATGCCAAATACTATTCAAATTAATTCTTTTCAACCTTAATATGTTGCAAACACTCATTCATGTTTTATGTATAAAACTCTATTCATTTAACATGAAGTCTTTGAATATGAAAACCTTAGACAGTTCAAATTTTAAAAAGAATGTGGTCAAAACAGTCTCCATTAACTTCACCAGCTGCTCATTTAGGACACTTACTTTCTCCTTTGTGAGAGTGTAGAGTTAATCAAGGAATCCCTACTGAAGAGGCTGAGAGCTACAGCACACCA